GGTTTGACTATGAGTTTGGTCACACATTGGATGCAAAACTCCTGCCTCGTGGGGAATCATCAGTGACTGGTCCTATAGTCAGGTTGTTCAAGCCATTTGATGAGTTTGTTGTTGATTTCCAGGATTTTAATGTGGATGCTCTTGAGGAGTTTGTTGAAGAAGCAAGTACCCCTATTGTGACTCTCTTTAACAATGACCCTAGCAATCAGCCATTTGTTATTAAATTCTTCAACAATCCCAACGCCAAGCCAAAGTGAGGAGCTTTGTAATACCCCTGTTCTGTAGTATGCTAATTGGTCCTTAATATGAGTATAATGATGTGTTTTCTTGATTGTTGTATTTTGGGAGAGAGTCAGTATATGGGTGAGAGACTTAGTATATGGGAAAAACATATGACATACGTTATTCTTCTCTTAATCACCCATATCCCATATTATATCGGATATATAAGATATCTATCCATATCAGTTATAGTTGATATCATTTATAGATATCTTGAGTGGTTATCCAAATAGGTTTTGAATTCAAATTCAAACTTATTTGGATAAGGTTTAAAAGGTTCAAAGAAGGGTCAAGCCTCATGGGCGCCCAATTTCTAAGCACGGCAGCTTAGATGAGCAAGAAGAGAAAGTTCGTAGCTGATGGAGTGTTCTTTGCGGAGCTGAATGAGGTATTGAAGAGAGAGCTAGCAGAGGATGGGTACTCCGAAGTCGAGGTCAGGGTCACTCCAATACGCACTGAGATCATCATTAGAGCCACTCGAACTCAGAATGTTCTCGGTGAGAAAGAGAAGGGGATTTTTAGAGAGAGAAAGCTTAGCAGCAATGGCATCTAGGTTATGGATATGCATGTTTGTCTTCATTCTCTCTCTCATCCTAGGGACATCTGCTTCTGAAACTGAGTACACATCTGCTTCTGACACCGAGGACTCAGAGTCGAAAGAGTTCGTTCTGAATCTAGATCACTCTAACTTCCACGAGACTGTTAACAAGCACAATTTCATCATCGTCGAGTTCTACGCTCCATGGTGTGGCCACAGCAAGAAGCTTGCTGCAGAGTATAAGAAAGCTGCATCTGTACTCAGTAGTCACGATCCTCTAGTCACTCTAGCAAAAATTGATGCCAGTGTTGAAACGAACAAGGGACTTACAAGTGAATTTGAGATTAGTGGTTTCCCCACAATTAAGATCTTGAGAAATGGAAAGAAGCATATTCAAGAATACAAAAGACCTCGGGATGCTGAAGGTATTGTTACTTATTTAAAGAAGCAAAGTGGCCCTGCGTCTGCTGAAATAAAATCCGTAGAAGATGCTAATGCTCTTATTGATGGCGAAAAGATTATTGTTGTTGGGGTGTTTCTAGAATTCTCTGGAGAGAAGTTTGAGAACTTTACAGCTCTTACTAAGAAATTGCGGTCTGACTATGAGTTTGGTCACACATTGGATGCAAAACTCCTGCCTCGTGGGGAATCATCAGTGACTGGTCTTATAGTCAGGTTGTTCAAGCCATTTGATGAGTTTGTTGTTGATTTCCAGGATTTTAATGTGGATGCTCTTGAGGAGTTTGTTGAAGAAGCAAGTACCCCTATTGTGACTCTCTTTAACAATGACCCTAGCAATCAGCCATTTGTTATTAAATTCTTCAACAATCCCAACGCCAAGCCAAAGTGAGGAGCTTGGTGAGAGCAACATTTTGATCGGTGGAGATCAAAATCCGGCAAAAATTGAAAAATTGGATTTTTGGCTTGTTTCCTCTTCTAACTTGAGGTAGGGATTTTCTTTGAGTTATATATATATTTTTGCAAGATCTAGATGGTTTTTCGAAATCACCCTTTGATAGCTTCTGAAAATTTATTTTGATTTAAGAAGTTGAGCGATTTTGAAAGTGGGTTTGTCTCTTGTTCTTTTAAAATAATCTCATGGGTTTTGATCTTTGTTGATTGAAGAAAAGATGATTTTCGAGAGTTTTCTGTCAAAAGATTTGAGCTGTGTAGTTTGGTGAGAAAACCTAGAAATTGGAGATTTTAAAAGAGATTGCAAATCCATGGATAATATTGTTATATTTAATTTTGTGTGCCAAAATAAATAATGTTTATAAAATTTCTCATTTATATTTGTATAAATGATTAATTTTGTGGATTATGAGAATTGTTGTTCATTTTAGAAATGGTTATTCAGAATGTTGATATAGTCTTGAAATGACTAAGCTATTGAGAATATTTGAGAAGAGGAAATTGTGTTATTCTTTGGATGATAAATTGGAATAAAAGTATTTATGTTCATCTTGTGAAATTGGCATATCATTTCATTTTATTACATTAGACTTTGAAGGTTGATTTGAAAACTTGCATTGAGAAAAGAATGTTGAGAAATAAGTTTTCATGAAATAGTTTAGGGGTAAATATGTTGGTAAGTCTAGATAGGTGGTGTAGAATAAGTTGGCCTACTGGTCCGAGGTGAAAGATCAAAAAATCCGCGCGGATAGGTGTCGAGCCTTCCGGTTAATACCGGTAAAAATGTCAATTTGGTAATACTCGTATAGTCTACTTGCAGACACCAACCTAGGGATTACCAGAGACGTATTTACTGCTCTTGAAATAAATTGTTAAGTTTTTAACAATTTAAATTGTATGACATCATTGAGCATGATGGTTTTTGAAAAAATGAAGGTATGTTTTACGTTCAAAAAGGGCATAGCATGGCACGTGCATTTCATCTTTTGAGACTTGTATAAAATGTATATACTTTGTTAAGAATTTCCTACTAGGCTTTATGCTCACCTTACGGGATTTTTGTGCAGGAAAAGATGTGGTGTTTCCGCCTAACTGAAGGCGTGGAAGTGTGTGTAGAGAGCATAATGTGCTCATTTACTGTGACTCTGATTGTAAGCCAAGGGCTTTGTATGTGTGGGTTTGAATAACCGTTTTGTGTAACCAGGCTCAAGCCTTGGAAACTTGTAAACCCTTGGGGTTATTTGTTGTTTAATTAATTGTTCTTGGATTAATTATATTATCACATGAAGACTATTTATATCATGTAATGCAAGTATGGAGATTTATTATCAGTTTTGCTTTAAATGCCCATGATTATTGTATTACCATTTGGGCATGAAAATGAGGGCGTTACATAGGGGGTGTTTGATAGCATGATTTGTCACGCCCCACTTTTTATTACTCGAAGTCATTACCAAATTTATTATCCTGATTCAATTTTAAGGATAACATGCAGAAATAACTCATACATTCAATCCGTAGAAGTGATTAACAATACTCTCATTCGTATGCAGTAAACATTACATGAACATACTTAATAAATTGCCCTTGGGCTTACAACACTGAAGGTACAAGAAGAAGGGTGTAACCCTTTTACAACAATGGCATTCCGCCCATATAGGAAGGCCCCGTGGCCAACTGATAAGTAGAACTAACTCTTGCAGCTCAACCTGCTTAATACCTGAAAAAGATTCAACAACGTGGGATGAACATATAGTCCAGTAGGGAACTCAACATGATCTTCAACAATAACAACTTACAGATAGCTATGATCATGAACACTCATTCTCGTACTAGAATAATATTGTGACAGTTTATACAAAATATATATATAAACTTTCTTGAAAACAACCATTTCATTCAACGCTATAAGCGATTCAACTTTCCTTATTCCTTTCATTAATCCCCATTCCCATTCTTTCATAACATTAACAATACCTTAGGAATTAAATTCACTAAGCCCACTACTCTCTTCCAATCTCCAAGCATACACAGATACCCCTTCTCAAAGTTCATAATTTCTTTAAAGAAAATCCGTTTTCCTTTACATTTTCCAAAAGACAAAGATGACATTTTGGCTTCTTCCCGATACCATCAAATCTATACATGCGCTGTTATAACGAAGATAACAACTCACCGACATACATAAGATAAACCAATGAGGCAATTCAGCCTGCCAAAGCCATAATCAACACAATCCACAATATTCCCAAACACAACGAAATATCCACAACAAACTTCGCTCTACTAGCTATGCGCATAGTAAGCCAAAGATATACATCTTCACAACAACATACCAGTTTACCAGGCGCCAGCTGGAAGGGTGTGGTACCTTATATTCTCAGCGCATACAGTTCTCCAGGCGCTAGCTGGAAGGTAACGGTACCTTTGATTATAAGCGCGGCATATAACACCAACAACAACCATGCAACAAGGCATATCCAACATGTATAACATATATACATAAACTATCCAAATACAAACCATGTGTTAAAATATATGAACACATAAATGTGTGGAGTACATCCCCTATCTTCTCACACACACTGGAGTACAACCCCTCTCTCCTCCCTAACAAGTATGCGAATATAATGCATCTCAATATTTCATCACATAAGATGTTCAATCAACAATGGTATAGTGCATACACGACAATACAACACGACCACGTCATCCTCCACCGAATGACCAAGGACAAAACCTCTAGATGCATGTATATTGTACATCTATTAACAGACCCAAATATCATGAGATCATCAACTCATCACCAATACTAACATGGTAGTATAAGATACAACAATCCAACATTCATACTCTTTTCAAAGTACCTTTCCCATTTCACGAAACCAACTCTCTTTATTTTTCAAAACCGGTTTTATTTCTTTTGTTTTTCACAAAAACAAATCCAAGGACAATAAAGCCAAAGCTCATTTTAATCTACTACATTCCTCTCCAAGCCATTCCAATTTAATTATACAAATTAAATCATAATCATTAAAATAGGATTTCCCTCCCCTTTTCCCAATATTTATGAAAAGGTTCAATCAACAATCAACAACAACAACAACAACAACAATGGCTTCATTCAAAACCCAAAATACCCAAGTATTTACCCAATGATCAAAACCCCTCTATTGAGTTATAAAACCAAATAAATATTAGGGTTTCCTCTCCTTACAACAACAACATGCTAATTAACACCCAATTAGCCCCAAAACACATCTAATGATAATAGATTTAAATCCAACAACTAACCCAAGTTCAACCTCATGAATTTATACAAAAATCCAACATGATACAATTTTCATGCAATACAAAAATTACCACATGTCTATCTAGAGACGAAGTATTGAAAAAGAACAAGGAGAATCCCTACCTCAAACGAAAAACACCAATGGAGAAGATGACCCAAAATCCAAGTGCTCCAAATCCACTATTTTTCAGATTAGAACGAAGCCCAAGCCGCCCTCTATCTTTCTTACAAAGAACTTAAGATGGATTCATACTAAAAAGAGATGAAATCTAGAGAGGTAATATGTTTAGAGAGTGAGACTCTCGGCTGCTAGGGTTTCAAGAATGAAAGGGGAAGAAAAATGATCCTTTTCCCCGCTGCTGCCTACTGAAATACGATAGACTCGCTCGAGCGAAGACATGGTCGCTCGAGCGACCAGACACAGAAAACTCTCGCTCGAGCCAAGAAGTTCTGGCTCGAGCCAAAAACTCAGAAGTGCGCTCGAGCGGAAGAAAGCTCGCTCGAGCCAAGAAAGACAGTTCTCAGGTCCAGAACCGGTGCAACACAACTCTCGCTCGAGCGACAAACAGCTCGCTCGAGCGAAGGACTAAAAACCTGGGCAGCAACCACCTGCTCCCAATCACACCCAACCTGGAACGAACAAGTCCAAAACATTCTATAACACAAACTTAAAGAATTTAAGGACAGAAACAAGTTCTAAACAACAACCGAAATCCACGGAACTAAGTCCGAATACTACAACCAAAGGAGAAAGAACCGGGATCGCTATAACCTCCCCCCCCTTAAAGAAT